TACTAGACAAAAATTAGCTTTTTAGTGTTTGTTATATCATCTTTAATTTTATTTTCTATTTCGTGTTTTGAAGCTATTTCATATTTTTCGAGTAAAAAATAAACTAGGGGCACTGTTGTTTATTGTTTGTGTTTGTGTGTACTATGTTTGTTGTTTATTGTTCGTGTTTGTCGTTTATTGTTTGATGTTTATTCTTTGCTTTGTTGTTTATTGTTTATGTTATTTTAAGTTATAAATTACAATTTACAATTTTCTATTATATATTGCAAATTTATTTTGTTTGTTAATTGTTTTTTCGTTTTATGGTTTGCTGAAGTAAAACCAATTAAAATATGCAAAAAAAAAAAAAAACTGCAATGCCGTCGAGAACATACGAAGTAACAATTAATATTCAAAATATATGGTTCCAAGAAAGTTGATAAGTGAAGATTGCTATAAGATATTTATGGAAATAAAATTAAAGAGTTTTTTTTTTACAAGAAATGAAAAATAAATATCACAATAACTAGAGGTTTGAGAGAGAGAAATAAGTATGAGAGAAGAGAAAGGGAGGAAGAGGCGCTTGGGGTGTTTGGGTAGAGAGAGAGAGAGAGAGGTATTTTGTAGTTTTTGTTCCCTCAATTTCTAAAATAACTATTTACATATAAATATTAATTGAGTGTTATTTATATCTATACACTAAGGCCTCATTTGCTTATCTATATCGGATTACATTGAATTAGGTGAGATTGAATTAATATCCCACTGATTAATTAATTATTTAGTCAGGAAGACGTTTGATTGGTTAGATTAAATCTTGTATTCAATTTGTTAAATTCTGGTATTAATTGTGAATTGTCTAAAAAGTCTTTTAATTAAAAAAAATTAAGATATTGTTTTAAGGATAAAATTTTATTTTCATTTTTTAATAACCCTCTACTAAATTAATCGCATGTGAGGGGTGCTATTAATTTAACCAAATAATAGCATTTAATTACGGGCTTTAAGTGTAGTAGCGGGCTAAAATAAATACGAATCTCATCAACTAAATATCTTAATAACCCCTACTATTTAGTTAATAGTGCTTAGTAGCATTAAGGAAACGAGGCCTAATAATTTTATTTTATTTTATTGGTCAAAGGAGTTACACCTATATTCATCTAATAGAATGGATCTGCCAACATGAGTTTTTTAGTCCTGTAAGTTTACTAGTTGAAAGTTTTAGTCCATCATATTCCAAAATCAGAATTTTAGTCCTATAAGTTTCAAAAGTTGAAAATTTTGGTCATATATGACCTGCTATAACAGGTTAGGCAATGGTTGGTTGAATGAGTTGGCATTTAATTTATAAAAAAATATATATATCAAAATTAAACTAGATTATGTGGCTGATGAATTGGACGATTTTAGAGGGAATAAATTATACCATCAAATTATTATTTTAGTTGATGAATGAAATAAGCATTTTTGTAGTAACTATTTTTTTAATTAATATTTCATAGTTTTCAATGATAAAAATAGTAATTAATTATATTTTATTACTCGTTATGTGTATTTGTTACTCTTAGTTTGATAAGGTATTTTATGTTTGGAGACTCTAGAATGTTTTTTTTTTGGTACATTTAATTTAATAGAATTTTGAATATATTTTTTTTTAATTCGTAAATGTGTTTTTTTGTTTTTTATACTAATTATGACTATGCATGTATCATTTAACTTTGCAACAAGTTTTAATATAAGGTTTTTTTCTCGTATTTTTTATGTATATAAATTTGTAGTGAAATATTTAAATAAATATGAATGTAATTACTATTTGTACCAAATAAAAACTAAGAAATATCAATTAAAACTTAGGTATGCTTATTTTCTTCATAAAAAATATAATGTATATTTTAATCAATTTGACGTTCTTTATTGCAAAACTATAATATATATATATATATTCCATTGTTTTGGTGTCTTTGACATCGATGATGAAACTTCTCTCCAAAATCATCCAACTCATTAACCACATCACCTAATTTATTTTTAATCTATTTATTTTTATAAATTAAATGTCAACTCATTCAACAACCATCACATTACAAGCTATAGCAGGTCACATAACCAAAATTCCCAACTTTTATAACATGCAGGACTAAAATTCTGATTTTAAAACATGGTGGACTAAAACTCCCAATTAGCAAACTTACAGGACTAAAAAACTCATTTTTGCATAATGGATCTCCACCTATATAAGTCAAAAATAAAGTGTGTTCAGCCAATTTAATTAAAACTCTTTGTATTGTTTTTCGAACATGATACAAGATGAATCCCAAAAGTTTCAAAACGCAAAGTTATTGATTTTTATGCCGGCTTTCCTAATTTCTATAGTGATTATTAGAGTTTGTATGAAAAAAATACGATCAGAATCAATCACAAAAGTTACAATAGTGATTTTTAATTTGAATCTAACAAATTTCAAAATTTGACAGTTGTGGGTCTATTTGTAAGTTGTACAACAAAATTAAATCAACCCACTCAGAATAGAAATGTAAAATTTCAAAATAAAAATATTATCGACATTAAGATTAAGATCAAAATTCAATTTCAGAAAATACAAAATAGATAATTGTAGAATTTGTTCTCGTGTTTCAAATAAAACTTGAATTGGTGAAATTTGAGTTTTTTTCTAAAAGTTCTTATGAAAACAAAATAGGTAGTCTTACAGTCGAATCGACAATAAGACTAGAACAATGCTATTGAGTTTGATTTTTGACCCAAATTTGAAAAGAAACATGAAAGTTGTAGCATTTTTCCTCTTTCCCTAATGCAACTAGAATCTGGAGAATAGGAACTCGTATGCAAAAGTTACGATCAAAACAATACAGGTATAATAAGAATAGTAACTTACTTTTTATCCGACATTAAGATTATGGTACCAATATTGAGTGCGATTTTTTAATATGACTCAAATGAAATGCCAGAAAACACAAAATATGAAAGTTGTAGAGCTTGTTTTCATATTTCTAATGCAACTTGGATCAAGCAATTGGAGTTTGCATGTGAAAGTTATCATCAGAACAACATAGGTATGAAAAATACATTGTCTAACTCTCGCCGATCGTAAAATTAAGACCCAAATGAAATTTCAGAAACGACAAAATATGCATGTTGTAGAGTTTATCTTCGTCTTTTTAACGCATCCAACTTGAATTAGTGCAATTTGAATTCGTATCCGAAATTTATAATTTAAATAAAAAAAAGGTAATATTAATATAATTTTACTTTTCGCGTGACGATAATATAACCAACCGTAAAATTAAAACAATAACAACAATGGCAATGTTTGGTTGCATTTTCATCTCATTTTCGTTCTTTTTTTCCGAAACAAATTCGTTTTTATTTAGCTTTTCAAAAGGAATTCCCAAAACAATTTCAAAAGTTTCTCCCTCCTCCAGACATGATTTAACTGTTACAGTAAAAAAGAAAATTGACTGGTACAGTAAAAAATACCTTCACTAAAAAACAAACAAACATCACATTATTATTGGGTAACTGACACTTTGCGCCATTAAATTAGATGTCATTGGCACTTTGCACCCTTAAATTGAAACAATAGTATTTTGTGCCCTCCAATTACAATTTACTTGGCACTTTGCACCCTATTACACAGTTTGGCAAGAAGAGTGAACTACAATCGGTTTTGTGAGTTTCAACAGGGAAGTTTTTTACTTAACTTTCACAAACTTAAATATCGTTCTTCTACTTTTCTTCATCAGTTATTCTGTCATCTGATTTACTCAATTAGATCGTAACTTTTTCAGAGTGTGATCACATGGGGTTAGTTTGGGATCGGTTTTTTGGATATTAAGAAACTGTGTGAATTGTGATACACAATAAAAGTTGGCAATTGTGTGCATCTCAGAATATATTGGTGTATTTGTGTTTAAAAGAATTGAAAACCTTCAAAGCTTACTATCAAAAAGAATTGAAAGATACTCAATTCTTCCATATGGAAATCTTCTATTTTTCGATGCCTTGTGTATCGCAATTTTTCTTCTTCTTCTTTTCTTTTTTTTTTCTTCTAAATTTGAAATACAAAAATCATACTTTACACCGGTTGTACGTCAGATTTCTAGCCAAAAAACGTGTTACTCACGAGTCAACAAGTAGAGCCACTTTCTAAATATTTAGGGTAAATTACAAATACCCTATAAGGAATGGTTAATTTACGAAAAAACCCCTGTTGTTTGAATAATTACATCTACCTCCTCAATTATGATTTTTTCTTACACCTCTACCCTTATGGTGTCAAATTCAACATAATCATCTAAATTTCGTGGAATGTGCTCTAGTCTGTACTCGTTTTATGTAAAAATACAGTTTCTGATGCACCACGATCTGATATATACAAGCCAAAAAACACATATTATGATTATCTTGTTTCAAAATGTAGAGTTCGAATGGGATAAAACAGATACAAAAGTGGTAATATTCCATATAATCTCGAAGATTCCACTAAATTTGTAAAGTTAAAGGGGTGGTTGTAATTATCCAAACTAGCAGAGTTTTCGTAATTTGACCATACCTTAGAGGTGATTGTAATTTATCCAAATATTTAGCTAATATTTCCAATGTATTAAGGTATCCAAAAAAAAAAGGAATATAAAATAGTCGTAAAAATGAACATCCAAGTTATAAAAAAAAAAAATAATAAAAAGAATAAATATTTGGATAAATCTTTAATAGTCATAGTCCACGTGTCACATGCATTACATTACCTGCTGACACGTACGCTCTTTCTCTTGACTTGTCTCCTAAGTCTCGATCCTTATAGATGCTTCTAGGAAGCAGTAGCAGAGTGCACACCTCTTACTATATCTCGAGCATTCAATTTTCTCCAAAAACATAATTAAAAAAAAAAAAGATTTTATTCCCAAGGTTACTTAAATAATATTTCGAATTATTCAACAAAGCTAACAAAAAAATCTAAAATGGCTCCGCCTGAGATTGCAGCGAACTCAACCGCAACAAACAATGGTGGCGGTGGCGGTGGCGGTGGCGTGATGATGACGTGGGAGGAGGGTAATGCTGGGCCTAGTTATGCTTACGTCACGTTCTTGGCCGGTGACGGTGACTATGTGAAAGGTGTGATTGGATTGGCCAAGGGTTTGAGGAAGGTCGGAGCTGCTTACCCGCTGGTGGTGGCGGTTCTGCCTGATGTTCCGGTGGAGCACCGCCGTCTTCTGGTGGACCAAGGGTGTCTCCTCCGTCTCATCCACCCGGTTTTCCCGCCTGCAGCCACCGGCGACGACTGCCCTTTTGTTAGGCCTTATTTTGTTGTCAACTACTGTAAGCTTCGCCTTTGGGAGGTACGTACATACATATATACGATCACTATATATATACTTTGCATTAGTTTCTTTTTTATATTTAATTATGAATTGTGAAACTTATATATGTATATTGTTTAATTAATCTTTATTTAATTGGTTTGTGTAGGCATATTGTTCAAGTTTTTTCTAAGGGTTTTGGGTGCGTTTTCTTCACCCTTTGGTGTGTAGTTTATGAAATTACGACAACGAAAAAGCAGTACTAATAAAATCGGAATCCGAAAAAATTGAAGATCGATAACGAGTAATTACTATTAGGGGTTATTGAATTTAATTATTTTGAAGAAGACCATATATTTTCTTATTTTGAATTGATTTCGATCTGAAATTCTTCAATTTTGAAGGAACTATGGAAGTTTCGATTTCCGATATTTTCGATTTTCTTCAAACGAGATTCGTGTTTTTGATCCGATTTTATAATTTTTGATTTTGTTTTCTTTTCGAAAATTACACTTGTTATATATTTTGCGTTGTGGGTGACCAATGTATTTAAATTTCCGAATTACGCGGTTTCCAATTCCAAAGTTTCGGACAATTTATAAAATTTAGGTTTCCGATGGAAACCCATTTATTGGGAACGGAATTGGATATAGTTTTCCCCTTTCGAAAAAAATGGATTTTTTTTATACCAAATTACCAATGTATTAAATTATAGTAAGATTTTTTTCATTAAATACACTGATTTACAAATTGATCTAGTTAGTTCGGGGAAGCCAAATTTCGAGAGCCTTAAAAGTTATAACACGAAAAAAAAAATTAATGCCATAAGAATGTCGAATGGGCAAAACGCGACCCTAATATTAAATCATTAAGTTTGTTATTGAGAATAGTTTTATGCGTGATTTGCTATGTAGTTTGTGGAGTACAACAAAATGATATACCTGGATGCAGACATCCAAGTCTTTGACAATATTGACCATCTCTTCGACTTGCCAAACGGCTCCTTCTACGGAGTAGTCGACTGCCTATGCGAGATGTACGGCCCTCCTTGCCCCCAAAAGATCCGATGGCCCAAAGAACTCGGCCCGGAGCCCGCGTTTTATTTCAATGGAGGCATGTTCATGTTCGAGCCAAACCTAAACACGTACGATGAGTTACTACGAACTCTCGATGTCACTCCTCCAACACCTTTTGCGGAGCAGGTAAAAATGCGATATTACTCATTTAAGTTATTTGTGGATGTTTTGTAATTATAATATGTCACGTTAGACACTTTCTTAAGGGGTTTTCGGGGAATTGAAACGTATAGTTTAAATTAAATGCAATTATCTTATTTAAAAGCTGGCTAGTGTTAATTAAATGGCATTTTGAGGCCTTTTTTTTGTGTTGATTGCTATATGTAGACACTTTCTTAAGGGGTCTTCGGGAAATTCAAACGTAGTTTAAATTAAATGCAATTGTATTATTTAAAAGATGGCTAGTGTTAATTAAATGGCATTCTGGAGGCCATTTATTTGTGTTGATTGCTATATGTAACTAGTGTTTCTTGATTTTTGTAGGATTTTCTGAACATGTTCTTTAGGGAGGTGTCGAAGCCGCTACTTCCTATATACAATATGTTGGTGGCGATGATGTGGCGGCACTCGGAGATGATGGATCTGGATAAGGTCAAGGTGGTCCATTACTGTGTGGGAGGGTCGAAACCGTGGAGATACACCGGAAAAGAAGAGAACATGGATCGAGCGGATATCAAGATGTTGGTGGAGAGATGGTGGGACATATTCAACGACGAGTCCCTGGATTTCAAGAACCGAGGTGATGGACTTGGTGGTGGCGGTGGTGGTGGTCGTCGTCGAATGCTGGCAGCACCGGTGGTGGAGACGGCGGAGGCGGTGGTTCTCTATCCGTCGGTGTCGCCGGCGGCGTAGTTTGTTTCTTTGATTTGTGTTTCGGGTGTGCATCTAAATCGTTTGTAATAATCTTGTCTTTGTTTTGTAATTAGACAGTAACGAAGTTAATTACTTGTGAAGATAATGCGGATTTTGAATCTCAACTTTAAGTAGATGTGTGGGTCGCCTGCAATAATGAAATCCTCTGAAATCGGGTTATTTTTTAAACCAAGCATGTGTGCTGTCTCTTTCACTGTTTTTTCCAACATCTCTAAACATATAAATGTTATACGTGAGGTATAGTTAATTTTGAAATGTAATTTTGAGGTATATTCTGAATGCAATTTCGACAGATTTTAAGAAAGGAAAAAGAAGTCGATGTAAGAATTGGATTATTCAATATTGGTCTGTATTAGTAGTGTTAATGGTTTTAGTCAATTCTTTCTATTTGTGGGGTTTCGAGTTTGCAGCACAATAAGGCTTGAAGTACAGGGGAACAAAACGAGAGCTTTTTGGACTTTTTAAATACGAAGAAATGGACTTGATAATTGCAATAATGTGCAATGAGATGATTGGATTGGACATATATTCGTTATGAACTAAATTCAATGTGAACGAATGAATTAATCAAATGGTGGAATTTGAAATTATTTATAGTTCTCAAAGGTTATAACCAAATGACACAGCTCGAAAATGATCAATTGAAAAGGTACCACATATTTTCACATTAAACACCTATTTCTCAAATGGTGTTTAAACAACTCCATGTTTTCAAAGGTAACTATTCACCACCTCATTTTCCATTTATTATTTTAAGTAATTTTATTAATTTCTCATTCATTAAAAAATAATATTGAGAAACTAAATTTAATCCACTTAAATAATCAACTAAAATTGAGTCAACACTCAAAATTTATAACAATCTCCCACGTGAATGAGATTAATGCATGCATGTGACACTTTGAAAGGTCAAATAAACTATTATTGCATAGGGCGAGGTAGCTTGTGACTTTGAATCTTCCTTAGTAAAATGTTGTCGGGTTTACTCGATACCTAGTGAATGCGATAACTTGAATTAACCAGTTTTTTTTGTAAACACAATAGTAATTCTAGCTCATTTTGTTCTCACGTTATATCTATTTCGGCCTTGGACCATATGTCGGATTCATAAGTGTTTCTTATTTGAAGCGGACCCACTTCTCACTTTTATAGGAACTTCCTATTAAGAGTATCCCGCACTACTCCATCATATAGGTATAAGAGTCATTAAAAGTCTTTGACTAACCTCACCGCACTTTGCCGGTTTGCACTTGGATTAAAGAATGAGTTGGATTTGTTCCAAGTGCTCGTTTGAATATTCATAACTTAGTTGTCCCGTTGAACCAAGATTTTGGGATCTCAAATTAACAAGGTTGGATTATCATCATGAACATTCTTTATTAGTGGATTTTAATCCCATTCCCCTAGATATGCAGTATATTCGATCTTTTGGTAGTCCGTTTGTCAATGGATTTACTAAATTAATTCTTTTCGATTTTCACATGATCAACATAGATTGTTTCAAGAGATCAACTGTCTAATGGTATTATCTCTTCGATCGAGACTTTAGATTTTGTGTTGTTTGTATAGCCAACTGAGTACTACAATTATTTACAAGCACCAACTAAGTCAATCACATAATATCCTTTAGAACTTATGGAGTTATTCAGGTTGTTCTTTAGTTTTTTCTCAAACTATAGCTCGGATTTCATAGTGAATTGAACAATACACATTTATTTGAGGATTTTGATTATACATAATCATTACTAGACTTAGTATCTTTTGTCTCATATATCCAATTTGTATGTACTATTTTTAGTACAATTGGATACCTTATATAACATAATCCACATTTAAGGGGAATCTTAAACTTCTAAAAACCCTTATTAACTCATCCATTGATTAGTTACATGATTTGCTATTTACTTGACTTGCCTAATGAGTCAACCAACATTTGGATGAATGTAGTTCAATAGACTACCATATCTTCAAGAATATTTAAGTTGGACCATTGTTCATCATTATTCTTGACTAGGTGAAGAATTATAGTCTTAACTATATGACTTGCGATGTCTCAACATATTGACTACAATAAGTTCATCACAATCTTTATGATTTCAATCTCTAAGATTACATTAGTTAAACCCATGTCTTCAATATTGAAATATTTTACTAATCCTTAGTTTTCATGATAATATCATGATTACAACCATGATTAACATGTCATTCATACATAAACATGTAATCTTTTGTGCATTTACTATACACGTACTTTCAAACCCATTGAATTTAAAATTATATGATAACATTTTTATATTAAATATACAATGACTATACGAGTTTCAACAATTTTTTCCTTGTCTCAAGACAATCAACCCCCCAAGTTGACAATACTTCATTAGTTGTCCTAGGTTCGTTTTCTAACTCATAAATTAGAAAGTCAAAATCAATTGTTGATTTTCTTAACTCTTTTATTGAGCGTTGGTTAATATAATAAATTCTCATTTGATCCCCTTAGAGATATATTTTAACCTAACAACTTACACTAATAAAGTGCATTAGATATAGCTTATTTTCGACATGGGATTGTGATTTTTCACCTCCATATACATTAATTTTTCATTCATCCGAATTTGATATTGAGAAATTACATACACTAGACTCATCTAGCCTAGTCAAAATGCAGAATTTAATTCCATAACTTATAAAATTGAATCCACTTAAATTCTTGGTCAAAGTTGGGTCAACACCCAATTTTTCAAACATATTTAATTTTAAAGATCGTACATTCATTTGCTTCATTTGCATTAAGAATGACTATCTTGTACACTACTACAGTTTACAGTTATTACTTCACATATTCAATAACATTTACTTCAATATTTTTAAGCTCTTTGAACTTCTTTAAGTTATGTACTTTTAACTTTATCAAAAAACCCCTTATTGCTAATATTCAAGACATATATGTGATAAAATTTTGAAAATGTGGTGAGCCATATCTCCCCCACAAATTCTAGTTTCTTACTCTAAAATTCATCAAATAGCTTTTGTGAGTTCGAATACTTTATTTTGTAATACTATTCAACTATGGTAAATATAGAACTTTATTTTAATAAGCACAAATCTCGTCAAATGAAGTTCCATATCATCCAGTTCAACTTTGAATAACAATTTTTCTCATTTAAATGCTTCTTAGGGCTCATCTTTAATACTTAACAAAGATACATAATAATTTTTTGGTATAAATACCAACAAAAGTAACAAATAATGTTTCCATAAATTGTACAATCTTTTAAATAACCAATGTGATTTAACTTTATTTACATTGTGTTTCTTTTCTTTTAATCGAACAGACTATAAGAAAATTCTCAAGATACTCAAATCAAGAAATTTCTTATCGAATTGTGATAGTTTGTACAAATTCAAATCTAGAGTTTAGAGACTCCTAGTTGTTATATCCATCATTCACAATATAAAAATATTTATTTTGAATTTGCTGGTCAATTTTTAGTCAAATCCAACGGTACAGTTGTACAAAACAATCTTTCGTTTCTTTGACATTTTCCTTAAGAAAATATCCCCGTTGTTGTTTACGAACGGATCAAATGTTCAACACCATAATGTCCGATCTCCAACGTTCATCATATAGACTTGTGTCTTATGAACACAATATCCGAAAATCATGACAATCCAACGGTTCGATCATATATGATGTTCTGTTGGATAACAGCTGCTCAAACATTCTTCAACTTTAAGCCTTTTGACTTTCACAATTCACATCAATTACAAATAATTCATGCCTCTAATTGCATACACATATGTATTTATCATATTTAAGATATATGTGCATCAACTCGATTTCAAATATAATGTTTTTCACAAATAACATGAATTATGTATGATATAACTTAACATTCGGAATTAAACTAATCATGAATATATAAGTATAAAAATATGCATGTAATAATAATTACACAATTTCAAATATTCACATACATGTACCTATGCATTTCATAATGAACATAGAATAGTTAATGTTTTCATACATTATAGAATAATATTTTTTTTATTCATACTTTTGACTAAATATATTTATTCATGCTCAAAATTTGTTCATTTTTGTAGCATAATTAGTCATATGATTTATCCATATTACATACTATTATGCATTTAATAATCAACATATATAGAATAAGTAATTCTCCACATTATCGAATAATAAATTCTAATTCGATAATGCATACTTACGTCATAACGAACAAGCATAATAAAAATTATTCAAGGGTAACATTCATAATCATAGCACAACTATTCATATGATTGGAATTAGCATATTTAACATATCAATATCTATTAATCATATCAATGTGCATCATGCTCTCATAAAATTATTATGTCAATGATAACATATAGTATAATCTTATTACGCCATAATTTTATCATGCAATATTACCATATTCCATATTGCGAACCGCCGCCAGCAACGCCCACTTCGGTGCGATGGCTTTAAATGAGCTAAAGTTGGAAGCTGAAATCATACAAGACATGTTGGTTTCAAGCTACTCCAAACTGTGTCTGGCAATTGAATGCCTATCAAACTTAAGGTGACGAGTTAATGAAAATCAAAATAGAAACAAGGTGATTTTATCACTGCGGACACAATATCTTTAACGGACTTAAAGAATAAGGATGTCATGAAGCAGCTAACAGATGGATACCAGGATGACACAAGTCAATTCATCAAAATGCTAAAGAGCTACAATCATACAGAGACAATCACAAGTAATTGTCCAATTGATTTGGCGATCATCATCCTCTTCAAAAAATATGCCCCTCAAAAAATTACCAAGTTTAAGTTTTCGGACAATGCCATCGACCCCAGAGGGATCGAGAAGTTGGTGGAAGTGAACAATGTTCAAGTTTTAATAAGTGAAATTTTTCTCCTTAGTAATGGAGCCGTTGCCGTTGAATCACTTGAATCGCCTGGAGGAGGACAACTTCTGCTGTCTTGAAGGATTATGTTTCTTATTATGCATTATTTTGAGGCTTCTGTTGGGCCATATTTGGTATAGTTTAACTCTTTTTGTTATAAATAGACCTTAAATAATCAATATTATCATCTGACCAAAAGTTTTTTCATACAATATGATAATATTCTATATCATATAATATTACTGTTTCATTGCATGAGTTAAAATTTATAAATGAAAAGTCGTACCCGAACGAATTATAAATTTGTTGTGTCAAACTTTTGCGACAAATTTAAAATTCTCGCGTAGGGAATGCATGGACACTTTTGGCAGCACGGAAAATCTAAATCATATATTTCGTATATGATCATGATCAAAGTAAACCTCGAAATCGAAGTATATGTGATGTGTAGAAAGCACCTACAATGGAACCATGAAAATATTAAATAATATTCACGAATCGAAAATAATATATTACCTCATCATATTTAGGATATGATTCCATCGTTATTCTTGGATTCGGTCTTCTTTCATTAAAATTTTGTGCATTGAGTTACATTGGTCACGAACGGTTGCATGTTACATGAAAAGGTACATTGACAGTTCTGGCACCCTTTAGTATTTTCATCATAACTCTTTCGTACAATCTTCGATTTAGAAGATTTAACATATTTTGGAAAGACATATGAATTCTCTACAACATATGTGAAACGCTAATTTTCCATATTTTGACTTTATCACCTTCGAAAATGGCCTAGAACGTCAACCATGTGTGCTGTCCGAAAATGAATCATTTCTTCAATTTGATTTTGTAACTTCTCGGATTTTGGACATAAATCTTTTTCATTTATATGGATTGAAATTTCAAAAAATAAAAAATATTGCCGTACGATTGTTATATGTGAGGTATATTTCGAAATGCAATTTGGACAACGTTTTAAGAATCGAAAAAGAAGTCGGGGCAAGAATTAAATTATTTCTCCTTGAGACAATATTGGCCCGTATTACGGTTCTAGCCAACTGTCCCCAAGATACACCGATTTGTGAATATTCGAGTTTGCAGCACAACAAGGATCGAATGACAGGCGAATAAAATAAGAGCTTTGGACTTTCTAAACCCAAGAAATGGACTAACTATTGCAACAATATGCAATGAAATGATTGGATGAGAAATATATTCGTTATGAATTAAATTCCATGTGAATGAATGAACTATCAAATGGTGGAATTTGAAATTATTTATAGTTCTCAAAGGTTATGACCAAATAACACAACTTTTAGGAAAATGATTACTTCAAAAGGTACTGCACTTTTTTACATTAAACACCTATTTCTCAAATGGTGTTTAAACAATTCCATATTTTTCAAAGGTGACTATTCACCACTTCATTTTGCATTTATTATTTTAAGTGATTTTATTAATTTCTCATTCATAAAAAATAATTGAGAAATTAAATTTCATCCACTTAAAATAATCAACAAAAATTGAGCCTAACACTTAAAATTTACAATAATATATACTCACATTTTACATTACACCCACACTACCCAACAGTAACTCGAACTTGAAGTTAAACGAATTCGGAGCAGTATTCTTTTGATAGTGTGAAAGATGTTTACACTTTTATTTTTGTATATAGTTTGCTCGTCAGAAGAAACAATCATATCATTTGAGTGACAATACCTACTTTTATATGATTAGGCAAAAAATATTGTACATTGTTGTAACTAATGGACACTTTCTCCTCGCTCCATTTTAGACGCACGACAATTTGACGGTAGATTAGTGGGTCGGGTCCCTTTTTCAGTAGACAATTCAACACAAGTATTACCTTGGATTATCAATGATTGCATTTACAAAAAAAGAAAAAAAAAAAAAAGGACAATGACATTATATCTTGTTGGAAGTAATTCGTTTTCTAAAATATTACACATTCGTGTACAATATATGACATGATAAGATGAATAGGCAAATATATCGATAAATACATGACTATTTGGTGATTAGCGGAATTAGGATTTTAAATTCGGAGAACCGAATGGATTAAAAAAATTTAGACGAGGCCATTAATGCTATTATACGCCATTGTTTTATATTTATATATAAAATAATAGGTATTAGAATTGAGAAGTAATAGAAAACCCTCGTAGTGGGTTGACTTGCATTGATTATATATAGATAAATAGTACAAGGTAATAGACTAATCTAGATAATTGAATCATAACTAATCTAGTTAATACAATCATATTAATCTAGGGATATAAGAAATATCCCCCACCCCCACCCCACAAATGCACCTCATATGCCTAAACTAGTGTAAACACAGACAAGAGAAGACTGACACGCCGAAATGGGAAAAAGTTGGGGAAATGTACAAATATATTAAATATAGTGATATATTCATAAATGTTAAAAAGCATTATAAACATTAACATGAATTTTTATGATTAATTATAGATATGTATCCACAAATTATATAAAGGGGCAAATACTGATAAATCTCTAAACCCAAACATAAAGTGCGGGTCAATTCCCAACAACATTTTTTAAGCGTATTGGACCCTAAATCAAACATAAATATGCACTTAACTCCCTAACTGGTGTGCAAAGACCGAAAAACCCTTCACTTTATTTTGAAATTACCTACAAATTCTGACAAAACTTTTCACCTACTTTTTCACGCGCCGGTTGAGAATCACGCTCCATACCTTTTAACTATCCGTTCTCATTCAATTTTCGAACCATTTCATCAGCGGTTTCGGCAGTTTTTCTTCGTGCAAGCGATTCTTCAGGTTTTTCGGTTTTTGTTTGCTTGTATAAATAGCCACAACAAGGCGAAAAGTAGAAAGGAAACTAAAGTAATAATTTTCGAAGTAGAAGAATGGTGAAGACAAACAAGGGGAAGGAGAAGCAAGGTTTTTTTTTTTTTTTTTCAGGAATCGATAATGAAATTTGTTGTTGTTTTTTGTTGCTGTTAGCAAAAAACAAACTGCATGTTCTCATATTGAATGATTTTGAACATTTGCAGTAGTGGGTAGTATCCAACGGCGAGATTGGGGTTTTCTGAAATAAAAAAATCGAACAACTGGTTCCAATAAAATGTTGTTTTCTTGTTTATGCTTGCAAAAATTGTTCATTTTCTGTTGAATTGCATGATTTTAAACACTTTCGCTCTTGGGTATCATTCGTCTGAAATATTAGTATTTCCCCAAATCACTTTTGGTCATAACAAGGGTTTGATTTTGGGCATTAGATGTGTTTAAATAATATAAGTCTTACTACACAACGGTAGTGCTATTGTAGTTAGAATGTATAAAAAAAGGTAATGGCATTTCTTCTGATGTAATTAAATAGTATATGTCGTATTGCCTAATAGTATAGGTATTGTAGGTGTATGGTATTGATACAATATAGTGAAGGTATAATTACAATACCTACATAGTACCATTGTTATCTTACAATTGTATTTTTTCTGATTATTGTTTTTCCTTTATAATCGTAATACACTTGCAGATGATGACGCTCAACAAAATGATATACCTGGATGCAGACATCCAAGTCTTTGACAATATTGACCATCTCTTCGACTTGCCAAACGGCTCCTTCTATGGAGTAGTCGACTGCCTATGCGAGATGTACGGCCCTCCTTGCCCCCAAAAGATCCGATGGCCCAAAGAACTCGGCCCGGAGCCCGCGTTTTATTTCAATGGAGGCATGTTCATGTTCGAGCCAAACCTAAACACGTACGATGAGTTACTACGAACTCTCGATGTCACTCCTCCAACACCTTTTGCGGAGCAGGTAAAAATGCGATATTACTCATTTAAGTTATTTGTGGATGTTTTGTAATTATAATATGTCACGTTAGACACTTTCTTAAGGGGTTTTCGGGGAATTGAAACGTATAGTTTAAATTAAATGCAATTATCTTATTTAAAAGCTGGCTAGTGTTAATTAAATGGCATTTTGAGGCCTTTTTTTTTGTGTTGATTGCTATATGTAGACACTTTCTTAAGGGGTCTTCGGGAAATTCAAACGTAGTTTAAATTAAATGCAATTGTATTATTTAAAAGATGGCTAGTGTTAATTAAATGGCATTCTGGAGGCCATTTATTTGTGTTGATTGCTATATGTAACTAGTGTTTCTTGATTTTTGTAGGATTTTCTGAACATGTTCTTTAGGGAGGTGTCGAAGCCGCTACTTCCTATATACAATATGTTGGTGGCGATGATGTGGCGGCACTCGGAGATGATGGATCTGGATAAGGTCAAGGTGGTCCATTACTGTGTGGGAGGGTCGAAACCGTGGAGATACACCGGAAAAGAAGAGAACATGGATCGAGCGGATATCAAGATGTTGGTGGAGAGATGGTGGGACATATTCAACGACGAGTCCCTGGATTTCAAGAACCGAGGTGATGGACTTGGTGGTGGCGGTGGTGGTGGTCGTCGTCGAATGCTGGCAGCACCGGCGGTGGAGACGGCGGAGGCGGTGGTTCTCTATCCGTCGGTGTCGCCGGCGGCGTAGTTTGTTTCTTTGATTTGTGTTTCGGGTGTGCATCTAAATCGTTTGTAATAATCTTGTCTTTGTTTTGTAATTAGACAGTAACGAAGTTAATTACTTGTGAAGATAATGCGGATTTTGAATCTCAACTTTAAGTAGATGTGTGGGTCGCCCGCAATAATGAAATCCTCTGAAATCGGGTTATTTTTTAAACCAAGCATGTGTGCTGTCTCTTTCACTGTTTTTTCCAACATCTCTAAACATATAAATGTTATACGTGAGGTATAGTTAATTTTGAAATGTAATTTTGAGGTATATTCTGAATGCAATTTTGACAGATTTTAAGAAAGGAAAAAGAAGTCGATGTAAGAATTGGATTATTCAATATTGGTCTGTATTAGTAGTGTTAATGGTTTTAGTCAATTCTTTCTATTTGTGGGGTTTCGAGTTTGCAGCACAATAAGGCTTGAAGTACAGGGGAACAAAACGAGAGCTTTTTGGACTTTTTAAATACGAAGAAATGGACTTGATAATTGCAATAATGTGCAATGAGATGCTTGGATTGGACATATATTCGTTATGAACTAAATTCAATGTGAACGAATGAATTAATCAAATGGTGGAATTTGAAATTATTTATAGTTCTCAAAGGTTATAACCAAATGACACAGCTCGAAAATGATCAATTGAAAAGGTACCACATATTTTCACATTAAACACCTATTTCTCAAATGGTGTTTAAACAACTCCATGTTTTCAAAGGTAACTATTCACCACCTCATTTTCCATTTATTATTTTAAGTAATTTTATTAATTTCTCATTCATTAAAAAATAATATTGAGAAACTAAATTTAATCCACTTAAATAATCAACTAAAATTGAGTCAACACTCAAAATTTATAACAATCTCCCACGTGAATGAGATTAATGCATGCATGTGACACTTTGAAAGGTCAAATAAACTATTATTGCATGGGGCGAGGTAGCTTGTGACTTTGAATCTTCCTTAGTAAAATGTTGTCGGGTTTACTCGATACCTAGTGAATGCGATAACTTGAATTAACCAGTTTTTTTTGTAAACACAATAGTAATTCTAGCTCATTTTGTTCTCACGTTATATCTATTTCGGCCTTGGACCATATGTCGGATTCATAAGTGTTTCTTATTTGAAGCGGACCCACTTCTCACTTTTATAGGAACTTCCTATTAAGAGTATCCCGCACTACTCCATCATATAGGTATAAGAGTCATTAAAAGTCTTTGACTAACCTCACCGCACTTTGCCGGTTTGCACTTGGATTAAAGAATGAGTTGGATTTGTTCCAAGTGCTCGTTTGAATATTCATAACTTAGTTGTCCCGTTGAACCAAGATTTTGGGATCTCAAATTAACAAGGTTGGATTATCATCATGAACATTCTTTATTAGTGGATTTTAATCCCATTCCCCTAGATATGCAGTATATTCGATCTTTTGGTAGTCCGTTTGTCAATGGATTTACTAAATTAATTCTTTTCGATTTTCACATGATCAACATAGATTGTTTCAAGAGATCAACTGTCTAATGGTATTATCTCTTCGATCGAGACTTTAGATTTTGTGTTGTTTGTATAGCCAACTGAGTACTACAATTATTTACAAGCACCAACTAAGTCAATCACATAATATCCTTTAGAACTTATGGAGTTATTCAGGTTGTTCTTTAGCTTTTTCTCAAACTATAGCTCGGATTTCATAGTGAATTGAACAATACACATTTATTTGAGGATTTTGATTATACATAATCATTACTAGACTTAGTATCTTTTGTCTCATATATCCAATTTGTATGTACTATTTTTAGTACAATTGGATACCTTATATAACATAATCCACATTTAAGGGGAATCTTAAACTTCTAAAAACCCTTATTAACTCATCCATTGATTAGTTACATGATTTGCTATTTACTTGACTTGCCTAATGAGTCAACCAACATTTGGATGAATGTAGTTCAATAGACTACCATATCTTCAAGAATATTTAAGTTGGACCATTGTTCATCATTATTCTTGACTAGGTGAAGAATTATAGTCTTAACTATATGACTTGCGATGTCTCAACATATTGACTACAATAAGTTCATCACAATCTTTATGATTTCAATCTCTAAGATTACATTAGTTAAACCCATGTCTTCAATATTGAAATATTTTACTAATCCTTAGTTTTCATGATAATATCATGATTACAACCATGATTAACATGTCATTCATACATAAACATGTAATCTTTTGTGCATTTACTATACACGTACTTTCAAACCCATTGAATTTAAAATTATATGATAACATTTTTATATTAAATATACAATGACTATACGAGTTTCAACAATTTTTTCCTTGTCTCAAGACAATCAACCCCCCAAGTTGACAGTACTTCATTAGTTGTCCTAGGTTCGTTTTCTAACTCATAAATTAGAAAGTCAAAATCAATTGTTGATTTTCTTAACTCTTTTATTGAGCGTTGGTTAATATAATAAATTCTCATTTGATCCCCTTAGAGATATATTTTAACCTAACAACTTACACTAATAAAGTGCATTAGATATAGCTTATTTTCGACATGGGATTGTGATTTTTCACCTCCATATACATTAATTTTTCATTCATCCGAATTTGATATTGAGAAATTACATACACTAGACTCATCTAGCCTAGTCAAAATGCAGAATTTAATTCCATAACTTATAAAATTGAATCCACTTAAATTCTTGGTCAAAGTTGGGTCAACACCCAATTTTTCAAACATATTTAATTTTAAAGATCGTACATTCATTTGCTTCATTTGCATTAAGAATGACTATCTTGTACACTACTACAGTTTACAGTTATTACTTCACATATTCAATAACATTTACTTCAATATTTTTAAGCTCTTTGAACTTCTTTAAGTTATGTACTTTTAACTTTATCAAAAAACCCCTTATTGCTAATATTCAAGACATATATGTGATAAAATTTTGAAAATGTGGTGAGCCATATCTCCCCCACAAATTCTAGTTTCTTACTCTAAAATTCATCAAATAGCTTTTGTGAGTTCGAATACTTTATTTTGTAATACTATTCAACTATGGTAAATATAGAACTTTATTTTAATAAGCACAAATCTCGTCAAATGAAGTTCCATATCATCCAGTTCAACTTTGAATAACAATTTTTCTCATTTAAATGCTTCTAAGGGCTCATCTTTAATACTTAACAAAGATACATAATAATTTTTTGGTATAAATACCAACAAAAGTAACAAATAATGTTTCCATAAATTGTACAATCTTTTAAATAACCAATGTGATTTAACTTTATTTACATTGTGTTTCTTTTCTTTTAATCGAACAGACTATAAGAAAATTCTCAAGATACTCAAATCAAGAAATTTCTTATCGAATTGTGATAGTTTGTACAAATTCAAATCTAGAGTTTAGAGACTCCTAGTTGTTATATCCATCATTCACAATATAAAAATATTTATTTTGAATTTGCTGGTCAATTTTTAGTCAAATCCAACGGTACAGTTGTACAAAACAATCTTTCGTTTCTTTGACATTTTCCTTAAGAAAATATCCCCGTTGTTGTTTACGAACGGATCAAATGTTCAACACCATAATGTCCGATCTCCAACGTTCATCATATAGACTTGTGTCTTATGAACACAATATCCGAAAATCATGACAATCCAACGGTTCGATCATATATGATGTTCTGTTGGATAACAGCTGCTCAAACATTCTTCAACTTTAAGCCTTTTGACTTTCACAATTCACATCAATTACAAATAATTCATGCCTCTAATTGCATACACATATGTATTTATCATATTTAAGATATATGTGCATCAACTCGATTTCAAATATAATGTTTTTCACAAATAACATGAATTATGTATGATATAACTTAACATTCGGAATTAAACTAATCATGAATATATAAGTATAAAAATATGCATGTAATAATAATTACACAATTTCAAATATTCACATACATGTACCTATGCATTTCATAATTAACATAGAATAGTTAATGTTTTCATACATTATAGAATAATATTTTTTTTATTCATACTTTTGACTAAATATATTTATTCATGCTCAAAATTTGTTCATTTTTGTAGCATAATTAGTCATATGATTTATCCATATTACATACTATTATGCATTTAATAATCAACATATATAGAATAAGTAATTCTCCACATTATAGAATAATAAATTCTAATTCGATAATGCATACTTACGTCATAACGAACAAGCATAATAAAAATTATTCAAGGGTAACATTCATAATCATAGCACAACTATTCATATGATTGGAATTAGCATATTTAACATATCAATATCTATTAATCATATCAATGTGCATCATGCTCTCATAAAATTATTATGTCAATGATAACATATAGTATAATCTTATTACGCCATAATTTTATCATGCAATATTATCATATTCCATATTGCGAACCGCCGCCAGCAACGCCCACTTCGGTGCGATGGCTTTAAATGAGCTAAAGTTGGAAGCTGAAATCATACAAGACATGTTGGTTTCAAGCTACTCCAAACTGTGTCTGGCAATTGAATGCCTATCAAACTTAAGGTGACGAGTTAATGAAAATCAAAATAGAAACAAGGTGATTTTATCACTGCGGACACAATATCTTTAACGGACTTAAAGAATAAGGATGTCATGAAGCAGCTAACAGATGGATACCAGGATGACACAAGTCAATTCATCAAAATGCTAAAGAGCTACAATCATACAGAGACAATCACAAGTAATTGTCCAATTGATTTGGCGATCATCATCCTCTTCAAAAAATATGCCCCTCAAAAAATTACCAAGTTTAAGTTTTCGGACAATGCCATCGACCCCAGAGGGATCGAGAAGTTGGTGGAAGTGAACAATGTTCAAGTTTTAATAAGTGAAATTTTTCTCCTTAGTAATGGAGCCGTTGCCGTTGAATCACTTGAAGCGCCTGGAGGAGGACAACTTCTGCTGTCTTGAAGGATTATGTTTCTTATTATGCATTATTTTGAGGCTTCTGTTGGGCCATATTTGGTATAGTTTAACTCTTTTTGTTATAAATAGACCTTAAATAATCAATATTATCATCTGACCAAAAGT